CTCTACTTTAGATGGTGTCTCGAATTCCCTCACCCCTAGGGTCTATTTATACTTGTAGACTCCTTAAGGATTACAGCTTTAACCCTAATTGGATAACTTAGACTTTAAGTTGATCCATATCCTTTTCTTGATAACCCTATGGACGATTTTGGCTTATCCAAGCCCTAGAAATCGTCCATCCTATCTAGGATAAGGATTTATAGTCTAAAGTGTAACTATCAAACAATTGACAGTTTATACCTTCTTATTTAATTAATCTCTTTAAGTCACCAAATTAATTTCAATTAATCTATGACTTATATTAGTCAAATAACCATATATTATTCCTTATAATATTTACTCTCTCTTAACAAATCATCCATCAAGTTGCTATGGTGAAGGCAACCCAAAAGGACCATACACAACCGGATCAAATACTTGCCTAATATAGTTGCAGCCTTAGACACTATTCCAACAGATCCATGGGTTTTTCAGTGGCTTTCGTCGTCGATCTGATGGTTCCGGTAATAAGGGGTTGAGTTCTAAAGGTTTCATGGGTGATATCGGAGGAGGATCTTTGTGATGGAGGAGGAAAATCTAAATTTTTCGATGGTGGTTTCCGATGATTCTCGTGTCATCAAAGTTCTAGTGTTGTCGGAGTTGGAGGTGTTCCAGGAGCTAAGAGATGGGGAGGACGTGGAAGAGAGTGTGGCTTAGGTTTTAGGGTGAGGGTATGAAGATGGGCAGGTGGGGTTGGGATCGGGTCCAATATATTTATTTTTATTTAAATTATTTTTTATAATTCGAATAATAAAAACATTAAAAAAGTATAATATAGTATTTTATTTCTACGAGGGAAAGACCGCAATAAAATCATAACCTATGGACGAGTTAAGTGCAAAAAAAACTTAGGGAAAATGACTCTTGAGGGTAATTAACTTTTACGTTTGTACTCATTTGGTCCTTTTCCTTTTTTTGTATTCAATATACCATCGAACTTGTTGGTTGTGTTCACCATAACCCTTTTGACCTGTGATAGTCGGTCAAAGGGTTATGGTGAACACAAACAACAAGTTCGATGGTATATTGAGTACAAAAAAAGGGACCAAATGAGAACAAATACAACAGTTGGTTACCCTCCTGATTCATTTTCCTTTTATTCATTTACATCAAATCCCACGTCATCTCCTACTGATATTAATGACTTTATGAGATTCATTCTTGCTTCTCTTCAAAACATAACTCACGAAAGAACATTATTCATACACGTACAACTTTATAATGCACTTGAATATTTATTAGGGGAATCTTTGACTAAGCAGACGCATTTCATGACTACATTTACATTTCCAATTAAATGATTTATCGTATCATGGATTACAGACAACTCTACAAACGAGTGGAATCACAACTGCTGTGATTTTTTAGTTTACTTAGCTTTAAGATCGAATTCATGGGATAAGATACAACATCAATATGTACAATATTATGCTGCTTTTGTAGACACATCATCAAAATATACCTTGAGGTAAACGTTTATGCTGATAAATATATCTTTCATACACAGTCATATCCTTTTGCTGAGAGGTGTTGACAGTTAACCACAGTAAGCATAACATAGACCATGTTTTAACAAGGTTACCCCTTTGAAAAGCTCTTCATATACATTATAGCCAAAGAAGGTTACAGTCTTTGATAATTTTGCAATTTTAATTTCATTTAACTTTTCGGGGAAAATATCTCAGGAGGGTAACCAACTGTTGAGTTCGTTCTCATTTGGTCCCTTTCTTTTTTTTGTATTCAATATACCATCGAACTTGTTGTTTGCGTTCACCATAACCCTTTGATCGGCTATCACAGGTCAAAAGCCAGTCAAAAGGGTTATGGTGAACGCAAACAACAAGTTCGATGGTATATTGAATACAAAAAAAAAAGGAAAGGGACCAAATGAGTACAAACGTAAAAGTTAATTACCCTAAAGAGTCATTTTCCCAAAAAACTTAAGGATCAAATGTGTAATCAGACCATATGGACGATTTTAATAATTTGTTCTTCCTTTTATACATTTGGTTCAACACCTAAAGTTATTTCTCGCTGATTAATGTTAAAACAGTCCAAACTGATAATTTTTTAAACATAACTGGATTTTCTTAAAAAATAAATAAATTAGTGACATTTTGAATAGAAACATGAAAATATAATATTTTGGTAAAATTAACCCTAAAAGTAACAATAAAATATTCACCTTTTAAATATTCCAAGAATTGTGTTGCATTAAGAAGCATGAAGTATCAAAATATAAAAAAATGTAGAAGGTGAGAAATAGCAATATACCTTTATATATTACATATTATAAATTAATTGGAATTAATTTTTGAATTTAATTGAATTAAAAGTGCAGTGGTTGTTTGGTAATTTGTTGATAGTTGAGGAAAGAGACTCTTGAACCTCCCTAGAAGCAGTTGGACGAAAACTTCTAGGAAGGCCTTAGAACTATCATCCAATGGCTCTTGGATGGGAGTTTATGGGTTACTTGGTCCTTAAGCTAAGGAATTAGGGTTTCCTCCTAAAACCCTAGTTTTGGCTCTAAGCTACCTCACCTATATAAAGGGCATTGACCTTTCATATTTTTGTTGATCATATAATAAGAAAAAAAAAGGTCGATATTTGTTCTATACTTCTCCTCTTTCATCCTATTGCTAGTGTTGGGTGTGAACCATTAGAGGCACGGCATTTGTGGTGCTTGTTCTCTAAGCTTCACTAACACAAGGGTTTCTTGTTATTCATCAATAACAATTAAATGTATGTTTTATAACCCTAGATATAAATTTCGAAAATAATATAGGATTCCTAGGGTTTCCCAATTGATGTTCAAATGTTGTATATTCAATTAGAAAAAAACATAGATCGAGAAAATTAGGGTTGCATGCACACATAGATTTTTGTTTGCTATGCTCAAAACCCATCACCTTCGACCCGTAAGTACAGTGAGGAAAACTCACCTCACAGTTTGAATAATAGTTGATGAGTTCCCGACTCCAAATCTTAGCTCTAACCATAACTTATTCATCCAAATGACCAATTCTCAAACACCATTCAAAATACCCAAATACCCATTGGTCAAACTTGGTCAAATTCAAAGTCAAAGTGGTCAAAGTCAACTGAGTCAACCCAGCCAAGTCAACATAGAGTGCGTGCACGAGGCGTACTCCAAATGTACGCGGGGCGTACTCGAGCATTGACCACCATCGGGGTGTTTGACCTCGTATGTGATGCGTACTACATACACGGGGCATACTCCCAAATTTCCCAAACTCTCATTAAGAGCTTAATGACTTAACCTCTCACGTCTATCTTTTAGATCCAAGGCCAAAATACTGCTAGGAGTCATAAAGTTTACAACTTTATGACTTTGCATGTCCATTAAGTGCTTAACTCAACATCTTAATACATTAAGCACTTAATCGGTTGAGACATCAAGCCAAACTCTCAGATCTGGTCCTAAAGGGGAACTTATCATGTAAAGTTGGCAACTTTACACTCATGCATGGCTTAAAGGGACTCAAAAGCTCAAAAAGAGCTTAATAAGGTCTTAATGCTTGCATAGACCAAAATCGTCCATAAAGTTGACATTTTTAAGAACATGGGGACTAAATGGAGCCAATATCTAACATCCATAACTTCTAGAGTATATCAAAAGCTCACCTCTAACTCAAAAGTCTCCAAAAGTGCACAAAATACACCATAAATTAGATCTAACACTATAGACCATCAAGGTGAGAGCTTTTTACCTCAAAATGCTTGCAAATGAGTAAAAGATCCTGGATCTACAAGCTCAAGCTATCCCTTCAAGTGCTCCTCTTCTTCTTCTTCTTCACAAACCACCAACAAACACTCTTTCAAGCTTAAAACTCACCAAATTACTCTAGGGTTTCAATTCCATGGTAAAGGGAGATGGAGGCTGATCTAAAATGTCCAAGAGATGATATAAGGATGCTTAAATAGGGCGCAAACCCTAAAAATTAGTGTTTTCATTTGGCTAGAGTACGCCCAGCTTACTCCATGATGTGCTCGCGATCCCTTCTGTCTAGTACGTCCAGCGTACTCCCTTGTACGGCCTGCGTACAAGGCTTAGCCTTTTAAACCACCAACTTTTTGAGGCCATAACTTATTCGTTCTAAGTCTAATTTCGATGATCCTTACATCCACGAAAAGGTAACAAGAAGCTCTACACTTCTATCAACTCATTCTTGCCTTAAAACTTCCCGAACTAAAATCCAAAATTCATAAAGAGACTGAACTGACACTTTACCGATATACGCATTGGCTCCAAAACACAAACCGAACTTCGGCATCATCTAAATTACATTACCCACACCCAAATGGGTCTAAATTTCTCTTTTCCAAAGGCCCTAAGCCTTGCGATAACTGATTTTTGGGTCTCAACCCCGAATTAGGAAACGATTTGGAACAGGGTGTTACAGATCTCTTTTCGATACATTACCATCCATCTTAACTTATTTTTTATTGTGTTTTTCATTATTAGCCAACTTGAAATGACATTTTTTTCCTTTTCAATTTCTTTTTTATTTACTTTTATTATTAGATTATATTTTGTTACTATAATTAAAATGGCCCACTTCATAACCTCTCCCCCTTTCCTATTCTAAACCTTCTCATCTTAGAACACCCTTAGGCACTCTCAACAATGACCGATTTTATGTCAATTTCTAGACTGTATCGAACCGGACAGCTTATTCAAAAAAACGGATTAAGCCGGTGTGATAGAACCGGTAAAAAAACCATTTGAATCGGTTTATTGGGCTTAGATAGCTGGATTTATCTTAGCCAGATAAAAAAAATAGCTTAATTCGGTAAAAAAAAATAAAAACCATTTGAATCGGTTTATTGTACTTAAATAGTCAAATTTCTCTCGGTTTGTGAACGCCGACAAGAATAGAATGTCGGTGAACACCACATCCCACCCATGCTTTTTCTTCATGTAATTAACTACGACGAGACTAGAATGTCGGCGAACACCACATGCCACCACCACCATCTCCGACGAGACCAAAACTAGAAGCCACCACCACTATATTCAAATCTGATACCATTATCGCCTTGAAGACAACACCACCACAATACACTGAATCCACCACCACCAGATCCAGATCTGCTACCACCACTGCCACTCGAAAGCCACCGCTACTACCATCAACCATCTCCAAACAGATCTAGTTCAAGGAGGTGATGAACACGTAGATATGGCCAAGAAGAGAGGAAGACGGGGTAGATAGTGACAGCAACGGTTTCCGACGAGAGAAAGGAGTGGAGAGAAGCAGTGGAGTGGTTTTCGTCGACGATCCACAGGTTTTCAGTGGTTTTCATTAGCGATCTGATGGTTCCGATGGTGGGGGGTTGAGTTCCAAAGGTTCACGGGTGGAGGAGGATGATCTTGGTAATTGAGGAAAATCCAAATCGCCATTGTAATAGAATGAAACAAAAGTAGGATTCTATAACACACAAATTAACGAAAGTACATTGCTATTTCTTCCATTTCCATAAATAACAAAAATCTAGAGATTAAAACATATAAATAACCATATACACTTGTCAAACAACGCACAAAAGTGTGCATATATATTTATTTTCATTCATCTTCTGTCATTCATTCCAATTTTACAACACACAAATCTAAATAAAAACGAGTTCTTCTTCACACAAAAATGTAGCAATAAAAACACAAGAAATCGATACACAAATGCCATAAGTGAAAGGATCATTAGATTTTTCCATTTTGAATTTTCATCGGGAGAAACATCGTATACATTATGAAGAGCTTGATACCCTGAAATTGTCCTAACTTGTCCCACTGCAAATGATGTCCCATCATACTCATTCTCCAACAAACCCTAAAAACATAATCAGTTAAATGCAAAAAATAACAACCTACTTTTGTTTAATTTGTTTATTATGATTTATTATTTATAGTGTCCTACTTTCATTAAAAATCTACTTAATTATAACAATGTCATCCAAATACAAATGTTTAAACATACAATATCTTGATAAGAGAAAAAAAAAAAAAAAAAAAGGGGGGGGGTGGGGGGTGGGGGGGGGGGGGGGGGGGGGTAATCTCATAAAACTAAAAGACCCTATATTTTGTGTTTTTTCTGGATTAAACCTCATCTTTATTTTTTCATGAAAAAGACGTTAGATTTTTCATTTTTTGCAAAAAAACCCTCAACGCCTCAACCTTATAAATGTTTCCAAATAAACCCTCAACTTTTTTAGTTTTTCCTAAAAAAACCCGTTATATTTTACAACTTTTTTAAGGGAAATTATCAGAAAAGTCCCAATATTTTCGGAAAAGTTTCACTTTAGTCCCAAAAATATTCTGAACATAAAAGTCTCGATTATTTCATTTTGGCTCAAGTTAACAAAAAAATCTTTTTTTTTCTTTTAACAGGAAATGACATTATCGTGTAAAAATCAAATAATCGGGACTTTTCTATTCAAAAAAAAAATGGTACTAAAGTGAAACTTTTCCGAAAATATTGAAACTTTTCCGAAAATATTGAAACTTTTCTCACAATTTCCCCTTTTTTAAAGAAAAATGACTAAAAGGTCCAGATAGGAAAAATGAATAAATACAAGGCCTTTTTCATGAAAAATATAAAGTTGAGGTTTAATCCAGAAAAAACACAAAATATAAAGTCTTTTATGAGATTAACCCAAAAAAAAATCAAAATACTTACACAACCAACATAAACACATATTCTTCATATCAACTTCTCAACAAGAATAACAAAAAAAACCCAATTTTTTCAAAATACAAATAAAAAATTCCTGATAAAACATACCTGAATTGAGTAAGTGTGGAAAGAAATATAGGATATGGGATACATCCACACGGGTCCCGGCAAAGCACTTCTAATTCGAAAATACCCAGCAGAAAGCATCATCATGACCTATAAAATCAAATATCACAGGGGTATTTCAGACATTTGAGCAACATCAACATAATAATAGCTTCTTGGATGATTCTTAAAAAAAAACTCACATGTATAAACATGAGTGTTGAAATAGTCCAAAACATATCTTGCAAAATAGTGGCAACAACAAGCACAATCCCTTCATTAACCAAAAGGCACATGAAGAAATTGAGCACAAAATACATCATAAAGCTGAAATCATTTCTTAACCCCACAAGAAAGTAGAAAACAAGACTTGATGAAATTGAGATTAGAAATAAAAACGGGAGACTTGCGAAAAGTTGTCCTGTTAAAAAAACTAATCCCCCTGAATGTTGATTTGAATCTTCACAACCATACACCTGCATTCAATAAAATTTGTAGTTTTTTCTTAGAGTAAGTAAATTACACGAATGGTCCCTATGGTTTAGGGTAATTTACGTGTTTGGTCCCTAACTTATTTTTTGTTTTTGTTACATGTTTGGTCCCTATCTTACCTAAAAAGACTATTTTGCTATGGATTTTTTAATTTATTTAAATAAACACACCCCCAACCCCATCCCTTTCACCTTACCTTACCTACCCTATATTTTTTTTACTATTTAAATAATAGTTTTTTTTATATAAGACAGGGACCAAATGCGTAAGAAAAGCAAACAATAGAGACCAAATGCATAACAAAAACAAACATTAGGAAACTTCCGAGTTAAAAAAAATAAGTTAAGGACCAAACGTGCAAATTACCCCAAAGCATAGGGACCATTCGTGTAATTTACTCTTTTTCTTATTTAGACATTGTACTTTGAAAAATGTACTACATGTTGTAAATGATAATAAACAAATGAACGAAAGTATGTTGTTATTTCTTGCATTTTGATAGGGATCACAATTCACAATTACCTTGACTTCCTTCAATTGTGCAGGGACCCCAACAATGCTTAGTAGGGAAGCAAATGATACAAACACAAAGATTGCAGCTACTCGTGTCTGAGAAATCAATATACAAAATCTTGTAAAGATTAACGTTGTTTACAACATAGGAATGGAATGTGATTCCGATCAATTGCTCATTCCATTCTTTTGTCAATTCCATTCCATAAACTTTACGCAAACTTACCGCAACCGAAGACAACGAATGCCCTAATCCTGAAAAAGCAGTGCCAACACAGAGTGCAAGAAGCATGCAAAGAATTAACCGAAGCCAATAATATTTCCACTCTCTTGACATAATCAATAATGATCTCCATGTCAACACTGCAATTCTTGTTGCACTATTTGCCTTTCCTTTGCTTTTCAAAGATGGACCTTCCTATTGCCATAATTTCAAACAAAAAAACATCTTATTAAACTATGAAAAGAATAGTATTAACTTAAAATGTAATCTTGAAACTAAGAGAATCAAAAGTTGTAATGATTTTACCCTTTCGGTTAGCCTAAGTATCATAGTTTCAACTGCAGCTGCATCAGCTGAAGATCGATATGTTTCTTCAAGGGTTCGGATTGCAATTGCAGTGTCCATATTAACAGATGAAAAATCCCCATTGTCATCCTATTTCAAGAAATATTAATTATAATTCATAAAGCTTTAAACTTTGTGATGTATATTGAACAAATCTTTGAAGTTTGTGATGAAGAATGTATGATATATCACCTGCCAAGTTTTGCACATTGCAATAATCCGGTCAAAATCGGTGTTTATTGCACGAAGAAAATGATCAGAAGGACTTTGCATAATAGGGCAAGGAAACCCTGCGTTTGAAAAATGCTGCAAACAAGCCAATGTCTCTCCAAAAAACAATGTGTTTCCATTTGAAAGAAGACAAATTCTGTCATAAAGTCCAAACACTTCTGTGCTACTTTGATAAATGGTGAAAATTAACGTGCAACCAGTGCTTGCTAGCTTCTTCAATGTCACCATCATCAAAAGTGCAGAAACACTGAAAAAAAATGGAAAGATTGTTGATTTGTTGTTTATTGACTTATTCCACAAAAGGGTATTGAGAGTAAGGGAAAAAAGATTGTTTATTGTTCATCAAAAGTGCAGAAACACTGAAAAAAAAATGGAAAGACTGTTGATTTGTTGTTTATTGACTTATTCCACAAAAGGGTATCGAGAGTAAGGGCAAAAACATTATTTATTGTTCATCAAAAGTGCAGAAACACTGAAAAAAAAATGGAAAGATCGTTGATTTGTTGTTTATTGATTTATTCCACAAAAGGGTATTGAGAGTAAGGGCAAAAAGATTGTTTATTGTTCATCAAAAGTACAGAAACACTGAAAAAAAATGGAAAGATTGTTGATTTGTTGTTTATCGATTTATTCCACAAAAGGGCATTGAGAGTAAGGGCAAAAAGATTGTTTATTGTTCATCAAAAGTGCAGAAACACTTAAAAAAAATGGAAAGATTGTTGATTTGTTGTTTATTGATTTACTCCACAAAAGGGTATTGAGAGTAAGGGCAAAAAGGTAAAATCTTTGACCTGTCAAGTTGATAGAGAGGCTCGTCTATGAATAAGACTTGTGGCCTCATTACAAGCTCTCTTGCTATGCTGACACGTCTTCTTTCGCCACTTGGAAGGCCTTTCATGTAACAATGTCCACCTATGAGTTTATTTGCATAGTCACCTAATGACATGGCAAGAATTGCATCCTCTACAACACTTTTCTTTTGATAAAAAAAACCAGGAAGTTGAAGGAGTGCTGAGTAGTAAAGAAACTCGCGAACTGTTAATGATCCGATTAGTGTGTTTTTCCTCTCAACAAATCCCTTTCAATAACACAACAAGTTTGTTAGAAAAACCGGGTCCCACAATATAAAAATGTTGATTCCATTCCATCTTACTAAACAAATCTTGAAAACTTACATAGGATCCATACTGCAACTTTGATTTTGCTCCATTGATGAATACTTCACCATATGTTTTAGCTGAATCATCCAACCTTCCTAAAGAGGATCGAAAACTTGTTAAATTTCACAAATCTAAAATTGGAAATAAAAAAAATTGTTAAAGTTTGACTAAATACCTGCAAGGGCTCTTAACAATGTTGACTTTCCTGACTTTCCGGGTCCCATGATGACTGTCATTGTTCCAGGTAAAGCATAGCCATTTGAGCTTTTTATAACTCGATCAGAGTATTTTCGTTTTCCTTTTATAGTAACTGTTAAATCCTTCCACACCATTGTAGCACCTGCTATCTTTCTTGCTACAACTGCACCTTCTGGTAATGGTGGAGATGGCATGGAGCCACTGTTGAGCTTTGAAAGAGATGGTGAGATGGGGGTGGTGGCGGTGTTAATGGAGTCACCACCACCACCACCACTCTCTTCCACCCTAACTTCAACATCTGGTTCTTCCCAATCAGGTGAATCTTCAAATGAAATTGGTTGTCTTAAAGCACCTGGTTTTCTTAAGTAGAAAAAGTTGCTTGATGGTACTCTGCTAGCAGGACTGCTTGCTGAAGATGATGAAGATCTGTAGTTATCTGATTGAGACTGTATTTCTTCCATTATATCTATCTACCCCTCTGTAACAATGAGAATAAGATCAATGCTTCATTAAGAAAGACTTCGTATATAAGAGAATAAGATCAACTACATTCACTTTAGAGCATTAAATTCCAACCAAAAAACTAAGAGGACTTTCAACAAACAGGTGGTGAGCACAATCGTCATTACTCCATCCTCTTGTTCGAAGCTCGAATCTCAAAATCTACTGAACCTAATGTGTCGGAAACAATAAATTGAAGAAAATCTAGTCGCCTAAATCCATTAACCCACGTACGCAGCAAAAGGTGATATAAGAAAGCTTCATCGAGATTCGAGAAAACCAATCTAATGTCTGACCCAAATGAATACACCGCACTCCAAGTAAGATTCTGATCTCTCCATGAAACACGACTACTAAAAACCCTTAAAGATTGATTTTTTTACCACATTAAATTAACTTAGCAACTTCAGGAAACACAGTGAAGATGGTGTTGACCATTTTCGTTTGAGTATTGAGCAGCGAACCAGTGGTTCAAATGAGGTGAGCAAAAACAACCACAAGAAGGTAAAACCAGCAGCCATAGACGCTCAATATACTTGCAGAATGAATGAACACAAAAGTAAGATTGAAAGACAAAGACAGGAGGTTGTAGAGAGTGACAAACTAACCTGGATCTGAGGGGGAGAAATGAGAAATCGATTGTTGTGAGAAATGGAAGACAAAAGACAGCGTCGAGTCGACATATCATTATTATTTACTCCAGGCTGACTTCAACTGAGTTTGGATTATTTTCATAAACACCCCCTAATGTTCTGTATAATTACAGGAACAACCTTGAAGTTTTATTTATTCAATAAAAGGGTATTTGGAGGCGCGTCTTGCTCATTATTTGATTATTTCGAATTAAAGTTGCATTTAAGTGATTTTTATTTAATTATTTGTGGATCATTTAATATATAAGAATAAAATAAAAATGATAAGTTACAAATCAGTTTAACCTGAGTTAATATAATTTATTATTAAACCATATAAATATGTTATTATGTTTATCTGGATAATTATCTGTTTAAATTATAGATGACAATTTAAAAAAAAAAAATTAAAGAAGTAGTAAATAATTTTTTGAAGTTATTATTTAAGTATGGGCATTTTATATCACATAATTTTTCTAGTAGCCCGTATGTACCATTAATAATTTAATTTAAATCAATTTATTAAGTTTATACAAAGCATATTTTTATTTACATGTTTCATATAAATTTTAATTTTTTAGCTGCAAATATAGCATAAATTAATTAAAAATATCTAGTAAGAATATGTGATATATAATAAAAGATATTATGCTATTTCATGTGGTTGTGAATGGTGATATCTTATATGTCGATTTTATTGTGTAGCTATATCTATATGGGCTAACCCGTCAATTAAAAATGGATCGGGATTGAAATGAAAATTCTTATGCTAAATGGTTTTTATATTTATATTTCCAATTACTTTGTTTAAAGTAAGCAAATATTCTTTTCTGAAACAAAGAAAAATGCTAAATATTCTCTTTTTAATAAATTAAAATGGATGAATAATATCTTTTTTAATAGCGTACGATAAAAGATATGGTACACGTTTCAGTTTTACTGAACTATTTATGAGAAAATCCAAAATACCACCAAATAAACAGATAAAAAAAAACAATCAAATATCTAAATAACAATTTTCATATATTTTGATAATGCAAAGTGCACGTAAGTTTATATTAAATAATAGATTTTCATAATCAATCTTTAATATAAAACGTTATAAGTTTATAACTTTATATTAAATAATAGCTTTAGCTATCTCAAACCAAACTTGACTTATTGCTAATTGTTTGAATATAAATATAAATTTCTAAATACCGAATTAAAAATTATGATATAAAGATTTGAGTCGATTCAGTTTATGTCTTTATAGGTAAGTTACCTTTTTTCGATACTGCAAAAGGAGTTCTGGTAATATGCACATGTCTTGGTGGGATGGATATCATTTCAAGGAGAAACATACAAAAATTTATAGTTTTTTTTTTGTGTGTGTGTGTCTTCAAGATATATTTTTCGCAAGAGGCGTGGTAAACTAGTAATTATAGTTTTCATATACACCAATTATTATATATACTAAAATAAATTTTATTTTGAAATTAGAATTAATAACTTTTACTACCGTTTTTATATATTAATTGCAAAATAACCATTAGAAATTAATCAATTATTATAACTAATTGATGTCAGTATGTTTTGTTTATTTACGTACTTGTGTATTATCAAACTAGGTTATAACCCGTGGAAACCACGGTTGATATTTTTATAGTTATTATAAAGACAAAAACAAAATATATCAACAAAAAATATAGCATAATATTTATTGTAAAAAAACATTAAATAATGTGAAAAGTAAAATAATAGTTGAACATATATTTTGAAATATTTCTTTGTATGTTACATTGGAAGTTTTTTTAGTCAAATTATAATATTTATCTAAAATTAACAACTTCAATCTTTTTCTACTTTATACTTTGGATAAAACAATGACATAATTGCCCGTGTGTGATCAATGTTCTTGCAAAAACAAACATATATTTGACAATGATTGGGATTAACTTTCATTTATAGTCATAACAAAACAAACAGTTAAGAAAAATTATATTCTTTTGAATTTGAATGAAAACTTTGCGTCTGAAAGCGTTAAAGACAATCCTGAAATAAAACAACAATGTTTGATATTTCTTGCCGTTAGGACTACTGTTTCAATACACATGTTTTGAACATGTATAATATATGAATTTTGAGGTATCAATGGATATTTTTGGAATTTTATTTTATCCAAATATAATTTTTGAATTTTTCTCTTCTCATCAGCAAAGTTTTATGAATCTGCAAAACAGTAGTATTTAATAAAAAAAATTAAAATTAAAATATGAAAAAACATCATAAATGGTCCATGTGTTTTTCTAGATTCTGAAGTTTAGTCCCCATGGTTTAAAAATCTCATAAATGGTCCCTGTGCTTTCAAAACTTTTTACAAATGGTCCTTATTGCTAACTCCGTTAACTTTTGTCCGTTAATTGAGGGGCATTTTCGTCATTTCACACAACAGGGACCATTTATGATCTTTTCAGTTATTTTTTTTAAAAAGAAAAAAACTAAATATAATTATTTAATATATAATATATATATATATATATATATATATATCACACACACACACACATTTGTGTTGGAATCCGTTGAACACACCTGCAACTTCAACTTCCCCCGATACATCATCTTCAACGATGACTTCTTTTTCTTCTTCAGTTAAATCAACAAATCTAAAAATCGAGGGCACAGTGGGCAACGAATTCATCGAAGAGAGAGCGAGGGAGAGGTCAAGAGACAATCGACTGGTTCTGGGGGTTGCTCGATGGAGAGAACGGATTTGATTTTGCATGTTTGAAGCTCTATGTTTGTAAATCCCATTTGAAGAAGACGAAAGGATTTTTGTAGACCGAGTTCTTTAGTGTATTCCTAATTGAAATATGATTCAATCTGCATCCAATTGTTGTTCTTCTCCATTTCATCGAAAACCTTGAGACTGGATTGTGTTCCTCAATTTGCCCCAAGCCCCCATTTCTGTTCACTGATTCCACGAACACAGGAATAGAGGTAGCATAGAGGGGACTAAGGGAGGAGATGTTCATTTACCTCAATTTGGACCTGCAAGACGAGATATCTTCAAAAGCATTTTTGATTCACCCCAAATATTTTTCTTCAATTTATACATCGACTAAAAAATACGTGATGAGAAGGTGGCCCTTCTGAATCAGAGCCTTAAATTTGAATCAAACTGAAATCGGTTGTGTTTGTGTGAATGAAGAGAGGATAGAAGGGAAATAAAGTTTGATTTAGGTAAAGAGACGAAAAGGGGTAGGTCTTTCATGTTCTTTGTGGTTCTTGGTTTCATGTTCTTCTCTGTGTGTAACTTTCTAAACTTTGAAAACAAAGAAGAAAGGGAGAAAACATAAATTAAGGGAATAAAGAAGTAGAAAATACAATTTGTTTGAGGTCAAAGGTTGCTCGTTTGAGTTGATCGGAAAATAGGTTGTAGGGAAGAGATAGAGTCTTTGTTAGGGGATTTGTGGTGGTTTCAGGTGGGTCTTCTTCTTTGATGAACTCTGACATTTTATTTGGATAGAAACGATCTACCATTTTATGATTGTTTATCTGAGAGAGAGCTACGAAGCAAAAATGGCGCATAGGCTTCCCTTGTGATCTGATTTTGCAACTTATTGGCGGTAATGTTGGATATTCAAGAATGAAGTGTCGACGACGACTAAGAATAGGTAAATAAATAGGGTTTTCTCTGGAGAAGATGAAAAACTTATGGAATCAAGAGCTTCAAGATTATGCTTTGACATAAATCAATTTTTAATTAGGATCTTGTGAGTAATTTCGAAAAAAATGGATTTTTTATGTACTTAAGGGGTTTGGTACATACTTTAGGTAAAAATCGGGGTTTACATATGATAAATGGGTGTTTGTTTAATTTTGGAAATCATGAACAAACTCAAAGTGCATTGCTATTTCCTACATCTAACATTCAAAGTGAAGATGGTAGCCATATATGCAGAAAGGACAGGTTGCAAGATTGTTTCAGCTTAAAAAGATAAAGCCAAAGCATAATCATGTAGATAGGTAAATAAAAAATAATGAAGCTCAACAGTATTTTCAATAGTTTAGCGGCTACTAACATGTGATATTGAAGTTCTTTTTGTGTAGTTCTGTGACAGAGTTCATTAAGAATGTGAAAGATCAGACATTATTTTAGTCAACATATAATGAGGGAATTTTAGTATAATTAATAAAACAAAAGAAGAATGGAATGGAATTCCTTTCTTCAATACCTTAGGCTATAGTGAAATCCATAGCAATTTGAAATCTATCGATTTTGCAACCAAACATTACATTGAATGGAAACTCAAATTCCAATTCAATGGGATTCCCCTAGAATGGAAGAAATCAAGAAAAACAATTTAATTATCATTGGCGAGGGCTCTTTTTTTCTATAGGTTTATAGTTTTTCAAGTTTCTATAACCAATCTCTCTAAGTTGTTCTGTAACTCAAATTCCAATCCCTTCAAAAAGTAAAAAGGGAATGGAATCACAGGATGGAATTGTTGAGAAAGGAAAGCAAATTGAGGATGCAAATCTAAAACATTCACTACTTGTGAGTTGTGACAAACAGAGAAAAAAAATCAATCCAAACGCGAAAGGATATATATATATATATATATATATATATATATATATATATATATTCCAATATCATGTATAGTTTGATTATGAAAAGTTAACTTTAATCATTATACCCATTGGTTTTTATTGACTTTATTTCTCAGGTGAAAATACTAAAAACTTGCAGGGAGTTAAGTAGAGAAATGGAGGTTTTTACCAACCTAGGATTGATGATGGAGCAATACTACATTTAAAAATGATGTGTCTTTCTAGGAATTGGTTTCGTTAGAGTAGTAAGTACGTTGATACAAAACCAATTGATTCAATAAAAACAAAGTAAGATGATATAAGTAATATTTTTTTGTAGCATAATGATATCATATAAAAAATCACTTCAAAACAAAGTAGGATGCCATATTATGACAAATGAAAAAAAAGGACATAAGGACATGCTTAAAAAAAAGTTAAAGGAAAAAAAATCATAATTTATCATGCATAATAATTGTTTTCAAAAGCAAAGTAGAATGTTTATTTGCCTTTTGAACAATTCTCTTTATCATCTATAAAAGTATGCAATTGCAAGAAAAAAGTAAGATGGTCTTTATCATCTATAAAAGTATGCAATTGCAAGAAAAAAGTAAGATGGTTAATGGTGATTGAATATGAACTAACGTGACTTCTATTTACTCTGTATTACAGAATTGTTGAACTCGCTGTGATGAAGATGATAAAGAAAATTAGCGGTGTATTCTTGGTAAAGGAAGGGGTTGGCGTATATAGGTATAAGAATTAAACTGAAGATCAGATAATTAAGGTAAATACCAGAATGTATCCCTTAATTAGTGGAATTCATTAAAATCAATAGCTGGTTTTTAGGGATATCATATATGCATTATCTATATTAAAATGCATGTAAATCGCATTGATGTTGAGTTTTGGAAGTTTATTAAGCATACACGTGGCAGGTAAAGAATGCGACACATGGCATGTTTAGATTAAAGCTATTTATTTATTAGAAAGGGAGATATAGTAGTTAATTAGCTAGTTTATAAATAAATAAATTAAAAAAAAACTACGAAATTAATACTATATAAATTCGGTCACGTGGTTTACACAATATCGCAAGTTTAATCCATTTTTTTGTTCCAATAATGTTCTCATGAGTGGTGACCATCAAATAATGATGCTTACTACTAACGAACCTAAATGTGGTCTTTGGTTGTAGATGGTTTTATGATATATCATATTAGGGTGGTCGGGGTGACTTGGGAAGAGCTAAAATGGGTTGGCGGTATCCGGTGTGGCCTTTGCACAGTGTGTACTGCGGGTTGAGACATTGACTTTGAAAATGGGTTGAGGAACTCATGGGTTATTCCAACGGCTCAATTTTTTATTTGATTACTTTATTATAAATATATTTATCTGTCAATTTAAAACCACATCTTTTTTATTTTAACTAGAAAAGAGGTTGCAGCTCCGCTTTTGGAGTAATGTGATATAAGTTATTTTTTTATATTGTAATGTGTGTTGAGTGTGCATGAAAGTTTGTTATATATATATATATATATATATATATATATATATATATATATATATATATATATATATATATATATATATATGCATTTCATACAATAGTTAGTGGTATTCAAAAGGTAGAACGAACAACATTAAAATAAAAGATATATCACTAAAAGTTGTTTACGTCATTGGTGAATGAGAGGTAGTTATAAAGCTTTATATTTTACACATCCACATTGCATATCTAAAACTGCATAGTAATGTTTGTAATGTTATTTGTCCATGTGGAGATATTTATAGAAGTTGTAACATCCCAATTTTCGAGACCAAAAAATTTATTTTTTTATAAATACTTTACAACATAGTTTACCAAAACATTACCAAAGTCATGTCATTTTATAAACAAAACCATAACAACGTGTTCGAAACCAACTCAACACAAATAATATAAATCAGAGTACAATCCCAGAAACTCAATGCGGAAACCATAAGAGTGGGAGTGTGTGATGCGCTGCTACGCCGCCGCCTCCTTCCCCTTGGACGAAGAGGTACCTGAAACCAAAACTGAAACTGTAAGCACGAAGCTTAGTGAGTTCCCCCATCATACCACATACCATACAATCACATAGCATACATATTGTCAAGCAATTTTGGGGTGCCCGACCTACCCATGTCAAGCCATTCTGGGGTGCTGACCTACCCATGTCAAGCCATTATGGGGTGCTGACCTACCCATGTCAAGCTGTTATGGGGTGCCAACTACCCTCCGGTCTATCTCAACTAGCAACAAGGACTATTTCACCCCTACCTCTGTCATACAATAACAAATATAACTATACGGTCAAGCATATCTGGGGTACTGACCTACCCTTCCCTCCTAACGACCGAGTCAGGGAAAAGTTCCCTGCTACTACCACTAACTCATATAGCATATCACATAAGCATATCCCATAAGCATACCATATAGGCATATCTCATAAGCATATCACATAAGCATACCAAGATAATTATCACAAAGATAATAATTTATCAATTACTCTTGTTGGTCGACCGACATTTTGGCCTTAGACCCACCCCTACTGGAAGGTAACTCACCTCGATGTCGTGTAGTGTCTAAAGTATCCTCAGTGTGCAAATCAACTCTTCTCGACTCCTCAATCCCTACACGACAACCCTTCTAAGTTATCAATTTGAATACGCAACCCTAACCAGGGTCAACTAAATTCAGTCAAAGTCAACATCCAGTTGACCTGACTCGCCGAGTTGGTCTACCAATTCGTCGAGTCCATACTCCACTAATCCAGACCCAACCCCGACTCTACTCGTCGAGTCTAGCAAGAACTCTACGGGTTCTCCTTCAATCATATCATCGGGACCATCTTCATCCAATCCCTCATAAGAATGCGTCCAGTCTATGACTCGCCAAGTCGTAAGAACAACTCGTCGAGTCCATCTTCAAAGATTGGGAGATTACTTTGGACTCGTCGAGTTTGTTCTAGCACTAGCCGAGTCCCATGATTCCCAGGTCCCTTAAGAGCCTTAATAACTTAGGGGCCTTACACATTATCATCTGGTCCAACGACAAAAGGGATTTAGTGGTCATTACACCTTGACTCGTCGAGTCCTAAGAAAGACTCGCCGAGTCCGTCCTTGAACATTACTATACAACCGATTTAAATGGGTCTTAACACAACAAAACCATAGATCTGGCCTCCTAATGTCCATTTTACACGTAAAGTCTCAAGCTTGATGCACATGCATGAGATCTTTGGCTCAAAAAGCCATAAAAGGTGGTCTACAAGATACATGGGGTGTTTATGGCAACAAAGTGGGCACCTTTATGCCATAACGACCCCCAATAGCCCTAGATCTGAAGCACAAACTCACTTCTTATACTCAATCCCGAATACATCCTCACCGGGGCTTAAAAAGATGTAGAAAAAGGTCCAAAATCAAGATCTAGACAATGAATAGACAAGGTTTCAGCTTTATACCTCTAATAAGCTGGAAATATGCTTAAAACTCTGAATCTTCTTGTTTCCCCCTTGATCTCACAAGCCTCCTTCGTTTCTTCAAGCTTCAATCACACAAAGTAACACTACAAGGCTCAAGAACACACTAAAAACGGTTAGGGTTTCGAGTTTGTGTTTGCTTTGGACGATGAGGGATGAGTTGAGGGGTTATAACGTGTTTAAATAGGGTGCAAACCCTCAATTTAGGGTTTCACTTAAAAAAAGTCTACTCGCCGAGTTGGTCTCCCAAATCATCGAGTAGACTACTTAAACTTCCCGCGGATCACGACTCTACTCAACGAGTTGGGCCTCCAACTCGTCGAGTCCCTAAAAAAACATAAGAAGTACATGAATTAAAGGCATACTAGGAATCAGGTGTTACAGAAGCAAAAAGTGATTCAGAAACGTGCTACTGAGTGATAATACCGTTGAAACATTATCCTTATTGTAGATAGCATGAACATTTTGGTGGGGCCGACGATTCTTCGTTATCTATAGTTTAACACAAATTTGTCTGATTTTTTTTTATTTTGTTAAATTGTGTGTTATGTGTGTTACCTTCACGTTCATAAGTGAGAGATCTTCTACTTAAATGCTGATGTGGTCCAGAAGATGATGAAGAATGGATGTTGGTTGTTTTGGTATTCGGTGGAGTTTTTGGAGTCGGTGTAAATGGGGTTGGATTCTGTTTAATTGTATTTTCTTTGACATCAGTGATGATGAAACAAAGGTTATCATTGGTGGATGTTTTCATCATCTGCAATGCCATTTTCTTAACTAAGCCTTTAATCTCGTTGACTGCGGATGGTAATTTCTTTATGTTATCCGGATCTTTTTCATCTATTAGCATTTCTGATGTTGTACCCGTTAGTTTTTGCATAACATTGTCAGTGAAAGTTACATCCACGAAGTTAGTTGGGTCAGTAATAGTTCCTGAGAGTTTGAACCTGTGTGTGTGACATTATTTAATGTAGTAACATTGTACTTTCTGATTCAGCTTTAATATATATATATATATAGCAAGGGAATGATATTGGAGACTTGTGAAAGTATACATATGTACATGTAAGTTGTTGAGTTGGGTGTTCCATCTGAAGGGAAGAACCAAGTATTCCCCTGTTTGAAAGTTGGTTTTTTACAAGTGGGACAGATGACCTAGTACCAGGTGTTAGTGAATTTGAAATCAATACTGAAGCCTTTATAGTGAAAGTCCTTTCCTGGGAACATGTGTTTGTGTTAGGAAGTATAATTAGATTGTATAATTGTGGTGTTTGATATTTATTTTGGAGAGTCTAAATATACGTAAATAATAATAGAGAAGGAGTATACCAAAAGATCAGAGCATGTTTTTTCACTTATATCAAGTAGTGATATTGGTGGGCCTGCCATGGTTGCTGAGAGACCAGTATTTGTTTAGTAACTGTATATCATGTAAATTGTTTATTAAGAATGTATGTGAAAAGTTTATGAGTAGTATACACTGTGCATACCTGTTAAGTAGGACATTTGACTAGGGAATGGTCGGGTTAATGCAAATATGACTTGCACTTGTTGTTCCTAGTCTAAGTGTACCTGTTAATTAAAATTTTCATTAGTATTGTATCTAAATTGTATGGTTGATTTTATGTGAAAGTATATGTGTTAAAAATTGTTTTATCATTTACGTACCATCAACTGGTGTGATCTTAACATTCGTCACAAAATGATTGTACGCTCGGGTGCGTTCTCAATAGCTACTCGATTAAATTTTTCAAGAACATCAGTGCATTCCTTCCAAAGGCTAATGGCAATTTCCTGACCTCTGGTTTTAATGTGTATTGTACATGTTAGTAAGAGAAAAAGTGTATTTAAAAAAGAAAAGTTACTTACGAATCATTTTTGAGAATTGGAAGGAAGAAGGGTTCGTTGTTCTTCTTGAAGCGACTTCTAAACTTCACGAATATTCCTAAAAAGTCTGCATAAATAACAGGGAGTAATGTGTTTTAGGATGTTGGATTTTGTACGCTTATAAAAGGTTAAATATGTTGATAGTATGTAGCATGCATTAACGTAGAACCATACCTGGGCACTGGTCAACAAAGTCTGGAATCTGTCCTTTTGATATAAACTTGAACCAATTTCGAGGAATAGTATTAGTATCTGGAAGTAATGTTATGGAAGAAGCCATGCCGATAGCGATGTATATTGGATTGTCTATCCACTTTTTATAGGAATTAGGCTCTCTACATCCATAATTTGAAATAGTATAACCTTTGGAAACTTGTAGGATAGATTGTACATAGCCTTGATCTTTTCTTTGCCCTAAAATTTGAATTGCACCACCCTGAATTATAAAAGGTTGATATGAGTAGATGGTTGGTTATGCATAATTGTAAATGTTATAATTATTTGTAAATGTACGTAAGCACTTACGTATTTATCCACATCTAGGTATCATGTCTCATAATAGCGTTGTTGTGGCGCCCATGTGTGTAGAATACGTACCTGAAGTGTTGTTCCTGGAGATCCGTAATGCAATTCTGAAATCGGTTTGAAGGTTTCAGACATGTTTGTGTTGTTACATAAAATAAGAATTGTGTATAATACTTTTTGTTTTTAGAATGGTAAAGTGTTTCAATATGTCAAAGGATTAAAAGATATGAGAGTGATATGTAGGTATTATAAGTTAGTTTGAATACGACATAGGTGGCAATGAAATACACCTCAATACTGTCAACTGTGTGTAAAAAATCTTTTAAAAACCATGTTCTTTGTTTTTTTGTGTGATGTGTCAAGATGTGGTTCGATTAAAATTTTGATTGAATCAGGGGATGTAGCACGAGATAGCGCAACTTAAAGTTGACCGTGAGTAAACGCAGGTTGGGGTAAATAAATGCCTATTTTTTTTTAGAGATTGACCCTGACTCTTGTTAATTGTCCTGGCGTAACAAACTCTAATCAGATATTGCTTTCTAACGAAAATGAAGGGTAAATCATGACTTTTTTGGATAAACTTGATTCGGGGCAGATAGACTCACTTTCCGATAGAAGTTTATGTAATAATAGTTGCTTCTATCACCACTGGTAGTAGTTTTGAAACCATCAAGCGTGTTCCATTGCACAACCCCTCCTGTTGGTTTAGATTCCTAATTAACATAATGGGTGTATTAGGTTTTAGTGAAAGTGTGTGCAGAGGTGTGCTCGGAAATGTAAGCTGATTTAGATATTTTGGAGGGTAGAAACTCTCAAATTCGGCTATTTGTTTGCCATTTGACTCTATCGTATAACACTTTTGTAAATTGTTGCATCACCAGGAACAAGATTTAGGATGAAGTCGTTGATATCATGTGTTGTACTATTTTTTGGACATACAGTTGCTCGCGCTGACAAAGCAGTGGCTGATGGGTGCAGGGCCGGCTTGGAGATTTTAAGGGCCCTGTGCTAAAAAGAAAAATGAGGCCCTAAATATAAATTTTTAATATATAAGGTAAACAAACTTAAGACGGTGAATTATCGTTACAAAAAACTTAAAAGTAAACAAATTAATTAAAAAGGAACTTATGGAAATTTATAAAAAGTTCAAGGGTTAATTATGTAACTTTTAAAAACTGATTTGTTAAAGATAGTGGAAGTAAGAATTGATTATGAAATATATAGTATAAAATAAGGGCCAAAACTATAAATTGAATTTACAATATCAAAATGTTGTGCACATGAATCGAACCCGTACGTTTGATTGAAAAGTAGAGATGCATTTTCACCAGCTGAGCTACACATACTTTATGCAAAAATCTAAATAAATTCATATATATTTAGTTATTAAATATATAATTTAATTAAAACTCGGGCCCTATTTTTTTCGGGGCCCTGTGCGCCTGCATCTCTTGCCCCCCCCCCCCCCCTTAAAACCGAGCCTGGATGGGTGAGATAGAATACCATCTCCATGTACAAATTGTACAAGAGTTTTCATGGTGTTTTCTCCAGTTGGAATCATGAGTGAAAGTGGTACGTCAATCCATCTTGTGTCTCTTGGTTCAAGCAAATCTGGATTCCCCAAATTTTTGTCTCCAATATTAAGTAACCATGATGCAAATGATAAACCGAAAATTATGAATTGGGGTGAGAAGCATCGTTCATTAACCTCATATTATCGCGAAGTTTGTAGGCTGTGAAACATGGCCATAAGTATGAGTTTGGTAAGGTGAAGGAAATAATTTGCCATCTACTACTCTTCGGAGAAGCAGGTAATGTTTGTCGGAAATCACCACCTAATAGAATTAACATTCCGCCAAACATTTTAGCGTCGCTTCGAGAATATCTCTCAAAGAGTGATCAAAACTTTCAAAACAACGTTTGTTACTCATCGCGGCTTCATCCCATATGATGATTGATGTTTGTTTCAACAGGGCAGCTAATGAAGTTTTTTTCTTAATGTTACACGTTGAATTTTCCGAAAAATCAATTGGAATATTGAACCTTGAGTGAGCAGTCCTTCCCGATGGCAGAAGTAATGATGTTATACCTGAAGCAGCGGCAACTAGTGCAATTTTGCTTATTGAACGGAAGTAGGATAGCAGCATAGTCCACAAGAATGTCTTACCCATACCACCGTGCCCGTAAACAAAGAGAAGTAATTGATTTTTGTCCTTGTTAGCTGAAACAACCATGTTGTAAATGTGAAGCTGATTATGGTTCAACTGAGAGACCATTAGTTTGTGTTGATTATGCAACAACTCTTTGTTGTAGTTGGTTTCTTCTAAAAGCAAGTGGTTCTCAAAAAGACGCAGAGTTTCTTCTAATGGCACAAGTAAATGAAAATCAGAGACAGACCTATATGGTGTGGAAGATTGAAGAAAATTCTCTAAGTCCATTAATACTAATTGTTGTAGATGATCGTCAGTAAGATGGAGGTCAATACGAAAATTATTTTTAGTGACATTATAGATGAAATCATCACTCATCTTACACCATGCAACTTCCCATAATGCGAGTGGGTTACTGACTTCACATAACATCAATAGATGACAAAACAAAGACCATAGTTGTACAGAGGTCGCCCATTCTGATGCCTGTGTGAATGATGTTAACCATTCCTTATCTTCGCCGATCAGACCTAATGCTTCACATGCACTGCGGTGATTTGGGTACATATGATTAGAAACGGTGTGTAGATCCTCATAAGACTTACAGCCGGTATGATGACAAAGCAACATGCGAAGGTAAAATAACTCGTCGGCTGATAGATGCACGAATACAAGTCTATCGAGTGCACGCGATTATGTATGATGCCTCAACTTCCATCCTTTCACTTGCTTGTCCCACAAATACTTAGAAGGGTAGTTTGCATAAGTTAGGTGTAAGCCATTTTTGTCACGCTTGTTACTCTCAAATCATCCAAGAAGCAAACTACTGCCAAAATTTGGATGTCGAACTACATCATGAATTTGACTATCTTCTTTTAAGTAAACAGTTTGCATGTTTGGAAGATGAACTGGCAGTATCATAACTGGTGGATCTCGTTCATGAATATGAAAATTTGGGATACGCCAAGCGGCCTCATGAGGGCAGATGTATCGACCATCGAAAAAACTCTGGATTTCATCTACAACAATAGGATGTGAAGAAGTAGTACACTCGTTCGAATGATCATCTTTTTTAATAACAAACTTCACCCGCTCCATATATACCTTTTGAAACATATTAAAATAAGTATTTTATCATCATGTTCCATCCACAATATTCAATGTTAATATGCACGTTTAAACGACTACACAACCGCTTGTTATATGGTACGACATACCCATTATCTATCTCTATACCATTTTTTATTCTACGACGTGTGAAAGAACTCCTCTTATAGTACGTGTAACCTTGTTTGTCGAAGATGGTGCTATCCAAAAATGGTTTTGGATACCACTTCTCACAGTTCCATCTTTGATGCACGTAGCTTTCACGTTTAGTAAACCTTGTGACAGTTTCATATAGTAATGGTTCAGAAACTGGATCTGGAATCTCAGCAGAAATTAAATTATCAACGAAATAAGGTTCATGTAGCTTGTATGAGGTGGCGACCCATAGAAGAGTGTGATAATGAGGCAAGACCCTCTTTTGGAACTCAATTGTATACAAATCTGAAAAAGAAAAGAAGACCGTCTTAAGGAATTTCAATAGAAACAAAGGTAAATGACAGTGGAAAAGAGATATAATGGTGAAAAGAAGAACCAAATGTATGTTGCTCACATGGAACATCTCCAAATGTCCTGTCATCTTTTAGAAATTTGATGAATGCTTTGACTTTTATGTGGAAAACACGCGCAGTAATATCAGCCCTACTATGCACATCATTTTGATTATGATTAACCATGTATCGTCTAATTTCGGGCCAATTAACATTACAAGTAAAGGTGATAAAGTACTGTGGATTTCCATACTCCTTACAATGGATAGTGCATCTTGATAATGACTATACATGTAGCGTGGACCACCTAGAAAAGACGGAGGCAGAAGAACCCGCTTTCCAACAGAACGACTATCTACATCACCCTTAGAGAGTGCGTTATAAATCCCACTGATATATTATGATCTAAGTTGTTCCTGATTATTCTGAATGTAATCTAAACGCCCTTGTTCAATACACGTATAAGCATCCACCAAATATTATTGGAACAACTGACATCCATTAAGAATAAGAGAGTAAATACCATCACGGGCATGAAGGTGATAAATATAATACATGTTGGTTGTTAAATTCCTTGCATTAGCACCTGTTTCGTTCAACAACTTTAAGCGCAGTGGCCACCCATCCTCACCATAAGGGAATAAAAGAGGATACTGCAACGACATGTAAGAAGGGTGAAGTTTACTAATTTGTTGTGGGCTTCCCGACTTTGAAAATATAAGAACATCATACTTATTCATAGTTGTTTCATCACCATAAATGATACAGCCAAGTCTATCGGGCGTTGGAGGACCGTAACGTCAATCAGGGACATTATTAAAAAGACATACCACATATGAATCTAAATCCTTTACAGCAGCAACGTCACGAGAAGTCTTAAAAGTCCGAACATACTCATTATGAGAAGTCAGCATGTCCATTAACAAAGTTACAACATGTTCATCTAAAGGTGGTTTTGAGAGGTCACAAAAAGTAGACAACCTGTTTGTCATCTCAGTATCCGTATCAACAATGTATAATTGTAGAAACCTGGGACGTTTATCATCTTGAGGATAAAGAGAGCCAATCCGGTGTGAGAACTGACCACAAATTTTAAAAGCATAGGGACCACCAACATTGTTAATGTCATCATCAACTTCGACACCAAAGGACGTCATTGCAAACATGGTATTGTAAGCCCTAATATTTGTTCTAAACGCAGATGAAGCATATAAATCAGCCAATACACCAGGAGGTCTTAAAGGAAAGGGTAAAACCACAAACCACGTTTGCAACAATGAGTATAGAAAGGATGAGTAACAGTAGAAGCAGAAGCAACCCTTTCTGAAAACCAAAAAAACACTACAAGATTCACATTCAAGAGAGTAATCACCACAATCGTCATAAAGTG